AGTTGCACCATGTGGGACCTAGTTCCCTGACTAGGGATCGAACTTGGGCCCCCTGCATTTGGAGTGCAGAGTCTTAGCCACTGAACCACCAGGGAAATCCCTGGATTTTTTTTTTTTTTTTAACTACTGTTTAGGGAGAATTTTACAACTTGTGAAATTGGCTTTTGGAGGATGGATGTGGCTGAAAGAAATTAAGTCACAGTCATATAGAATAAATGTCCAAACATTTAAGTCAAAGAATCTCTGTACCAGCCTTTTGAGGACTCTTTTAAGTTTTTCTTTAAACTATAATTAACCAAAAGGAAAGGTACTATCCTGTTTTATGTACTTTTATAATATACTTCCCAGCAACTATGAAGCTGATCTTATTTTATCCTATTTTATGGATGAGAAAACTAAAGCTTCAAGATGAAGTAATTAGACCAGTATTTCACAGCCAATAAATAGCAGAGCAAGAATTTTAACCGAAGAACTGTCTAACTCCAAGGCTTGTTCTACCTTTAATTTGACCCTCCTACATCCTTCACTTTTACAAGGTCATCAGCCTAATTAACTGACACCATTTTGATGGGCTTCATTTCTACTCTCACTAAATTTATGAAAGGCTAATATGTATGTCTACATATTGCTGATACATCTCAGCAAAAATTAATGAGTGATACCTGGGGACGGTGCTGGGGGTCAAGGCAAAGATAAATAAGACATCATTGGAGACCTGAGAGGCTTATGATTTAGGCTCAACTGATCATATTGTGTCGTTTGCTATAACACCATGTTGTTATTTTTCAAAAAATTTATTTGGAAATGTAAATAATGATTATAGTGATTGTTCACTGGTAAATAATGATTAGGGTATTGGTATACAAAATACACAATGAAATATGGTGTGAAAAATCATCAGCCTGACAATATTTCTCATTCTTTGATAGGTATAGAACACACCTATTATGTTGAGCTAGAAAATTTTGCCTGCAAGGTAGTTTATTCTGTCACCTCTAAAAGATGATGACTTTAACAAATACACGTACTGCAGAGTATAGACCTATTACCTTCATCAGTAATCTTCCAGAAACTATTCAGTCAGCAGTTAATTTATCTATAAACTCTGTAAATGATATTTTATCTGGAATGCTAACAATTTCTGACCAGCATGAGCTCACATGTCGCAGAGATGAAAATTCAAAATGTCCCAGAGTTCCAGAGAACGGATGAGCAAGAAGTACTTGTCATTGTTGTTTCGTGTCCAACTCTTTGCGACCCCGTGGACTGCAGCACGCTAGGTCTCCCTGTCCCTCACCATCTCCCAGAGTTTGCCTAAGTCCATGGCAATTGAATCGGTGATGCTATCTAACCATCTCATCCTCTGTCACCCCCTTCTTTCAATCTCAGTCTTTCCCGGCATCAGGGTCTTTTCTAATGAGCCATCTCTTCACGTCAGGTAGCCAAAGTATTGGAGTTTCAACAGTACTTAGCTGGCTCTATTAGACTGTCTTTTTTGATTAGCTGTGTCAGAGTTCTTCAGCCAGATGTAATCGTATGCTTATCTTTGACTCCTCTCCTCTTGGTGGGCGGCACTTTACCTGGATGTAATAGTCTCTTTTAAATCACTCTGACATACTCATCTTTGTAATGTTTTCCAAACATATCACCACTGCTATCTCTGGTAGCTATCATCTTACAAAAAATGGAAAACATTGTCTGCAGCACCAGCAGTAATGCTCAGAGTTAGCATCTCCATGCAGGTTAGCAGTGTTCTTTCCTTGTCCTCAATTCTGCCCCATGTCAGGGATTTCATTTGTCATTGTGTGTTAAAAGTGAACTTTGAAAATTATATAACTTCTATTCAGGAAGTTTTCTTCCCCTGTTTAATTCAATATTTCCTGCTCTGGAATGTCAGAATTTTCTCCCCTAAGCAAGACCAGTGGTTTTCAAATTATGTGGAGTGGAATTCATTCTTTTTTTTTTTTAAACACAATTGTTCAAAAACACACAGCACACTAACTAGGAAAAGGTGAACTGTTTTCTCAAGAAACTGAATTCTTTGCTTTGGAAGACTTATCATTGAAAGCTTAGGGTCTATAGAGCAGTGTGCTAATCACTCCCTTAGATATTTGTTGTGTAACTTGTGAAAAGCATCGCATTATATTTGCATTACAGCTGCCCCTTAGATGCTAATATTCTTCAATTTGCGGATATTTTCTAACTTTGTATACTTGGAATAACCGGAATCGTATGGAACTGGGCTCAAACTCTGATTCCACTGCTTGCTTATTGTGTGACCTTGAGCAATTTATTCAAGCTCTCTTTCTTATCTCTGAAGGGAAAAGAACATTCCTTGTGATATATGGGGATTTTGAGAAGTAATGAGGTCAAGTTCACTAGATCTCTGACTTTCAGCAGAGCTCTCTGGAGGGACCTTGTCTTCTGGACTGCACTGTATATGTCACAGTACACACTAATAAATCATTCAGACCACAAAATGTAGTACAATGTAATTATACTAGTGTCTTCACTATTGATTGGTTCTCAGAAATTGTTTGAAAGGCCATTGGCTTTCTGAAGCAATTTTTGATTGAAAGTCACAATTTTTGTTACAAGTTAATTGCCTCTTCAACTTTCACAAAAATTTTTATCTCACTTTGTAAGAAATGTTTGACTTCTGTTAGTGGGACTGTAAACTGTACAACCACTATGGAAGAGAGTCCAAAGTCTCTTCAAAAAATTAAAAATAAAACTACCACATGATCCAGTAATCCCACTTCTGGGTATATAGCCAAAGGAGATGGAAACAGGATACAAAATAAGCATCTGTATTCCCATGTTTATTATATGATTATTCACAGTAGCCAAGATATGGAAAAAACCCAAGTGTCTGTCAATGGATGAACAAATAAAGATGTATGTATATATGTGTGTATGTGTATATATATATATATATATATATATATATATATATAATTCAGCCATTAGAAAGACGGAAGTCCTGCCATTTGCAACCACATGGATGGATCTTGAGATCATTACGCCAAGTGAAATAAGTCACACAGAGAAAGACAAGTATTGTATGTTATGTGGAATCTAAAAAAAGCCTAATTGCTAAAAACAAAGGGTAGATGGTGGTTACTAGGGACTGGGGAAAGGGGGTGAGGAATGCTGATACGTCACTTGAAGAGTATAAAACTTCCAGTAAAAGGATGACTGAGTTCTGGCGCTCTCAAGGACAGCATTGTGACCATAGTTAGAACACTGTGTTGTGTTATATACTTGAAAGTTGCTAACAGAGTCAATCGAAAATGTTCTCATCTTAGTAATTATATGATGTGATGGAAGTGTTGGTTCATTTTGCAGTGGTAATCATGAAATCAACATAGTGTGCACCTTCAACTTACACAATGTTATATGTAAATTATATCTCGATGAAACTGGGGGAAAAATATCAAACGAGAAAGTTGAAAAAAACAGAAATCTTTGCACTGTTCGGACCATTTAATGAAACAATTTCAAAATAACTTTTACTTTATTCATATAGAGGAGCTAATATCTTTTGTTCTGTCACATATATGAGCCATCACTATATTCTTCTCTTTAGTCTTCAAATATAATGAAACTTCTAGTAAATATGCTTTGTTAGTGGCTCAGACAGTAAAGAATCCGCCTGTCAGTGCAGGAGACTTGGGTTTGATCCCGGGTCGGGAAGATTCCCTGGAGAAGGAAATGGCAACCCACTCCATTATTCTTGCTTAGAGAATCCTATGGACAGAGGAATCTGTGGCCTACAGCCCATGGGGTTGCAAACAGTTGGACACGACTTAGTGACTGAACAGCTGTTAAATGTATTAAAACAACAGATATTTATTGTAGCTTTTTCTTCTCTATACTTCTATCATCTGTCCACTGTGGATGTCTTTAAACTGTATTTGTAAGTATTCTCTAGCACTTTTGACATGTCTTTGATGCAGACATCTGTATCCTCTGGTGGCTCAGATGGTGAAGAATCCGCCTGCCAATGTAGGAGACCTGTCTTCAGTCCCTGGGTTGGGAAGATCCCGTGGAAAAGGAAATGACAGCCCACTCCATTTTTCTTGCCTGGGAAATCCCATGAACAGAGGAGCCTGGAGGAATACAGTCCATGGGATCACAAAGAGTTGGACACAACTCGGTGACAAAACAACAATACAATACTTGCCATTTTTGTAGTCAAGTACACAGTATTTTAATAATTTCATAAAATAGTTGCCAAAACTTTGTCCAACCCCAGATGAGTTCACGTGTTAAAATACTAGAATAGCACAATTTTCTAGGAAAGACAATAAAATATAAATCAACATGTATTGGGTTTTTTTGTTTTTATGTTGTTTTCATTGTGGAATATCTCTTGGAGAATATTCCATATTAATGTTTCTTAAAAAGCCATCTTTTCCCTGCCGTCAGGAAACATTGAAGGAAGTTTGGGGACAGCAGGAGAACACTCTGGAAATGAAAGGTTCTGGAAATGGTGAATGCATGGATGAATATGAAAGATTTTTTTCTTTATTTTAAAATTCTTTAAAAAGGTAATGAACTGCTTAAAAACCAAAGTAATGACAGCGTACTTTGGGTTAAGATCTACTTAGAGGTAAAGTGCTGCAGTAGTACTTAAGTACGAATCTATAAAGATAGTTGAAGAGACTTGTGTTGTCTGAGTCAGAGATGTGGGATGACTTGTATCTATAGCAGCTACATGATGAAAAGTGTCTGTATTATGGATCTGTACATGTGCTCATGTTCTGGGTGTTTTCCATGTCCACACCATTTTCCTCCTTTCTCTGTGTGCCCAGAGGGAGTGCACTGCTTCCTAGGATTTCTGCTTAGGTTTGGACAGGCGAGGTCTGTGTCACCCCTGCCTCTCTCCTGCTGGCACACATCTGGGGGTGTCTGTCCATGTGGCTGAAGCTCCCATGTTCACCACAGACCCTCCCCCTGTTCATCAGACATAAGGGTGTTAACTGCTTCTGGGGGCTTCACCATCCTTGGTTGATTTTCTTAATTCTGGACACAATTCTGTAAATAGTCTGTTTATTAAATATTCTTGAGTTAATAATTTTGAGTATAACGTTTGTTACAAATGATGAATGTTTGACCACATTTTGAGTATCAGTTACTGGTCCATGGGGCATAGGCTGACATCTGTTGAGATGTCTCACACTCAAGATTAGTATTTTCTCTTTGTGTTTTAATAAATCAGTAAAAATTATAAATTCTTTATGTGTTTTGTTTTGCTGCAAACATAAATGACTCTGGAGATTGTTACCATCTCCTCCATATGCTGGTGGTCTTGCAGCAATAGACTGAAACATCATGAGGTCTTTGTGCTACCTCTGGGCTGGTTGAATTTATAAGAAAGCATTTTTATTTTTGTTAAATATGTATGGACAAGAAAAAGGTAACCCATTACTGAGTGAAGAAAGAAAGGAATGATGTACTATACTTCCCTGTACTCATTTTAAAAACTTGTGCTGTGCAATTAAAATACTCTTATTCCAAAAAAAAAAAAAAAGCCATCTTCTTGTTTGTTTTTAGTAGACTACATTTTAAAGCGATTTTAGCCTCATAGCAAAACTGAGTGGGAAGTGCACAATTCCCGTATATTTCCTACTGCCCCCCCATATATCTCCAACCTCCCTACTATCCACACCATTGAACACAGTAGTGCATTTGTTACAGTCAATGAACCTAGATTGACACATCATTATTACTCAAAGTCTGCAGTTTACATTAGTGATCACTCCTGGTATTGTACATCCCATGGGTTTTGAAAACTGTATAATGACATATATCCACCATTACAGCATTATCCATAATAGTTTCACTCCCTTAATAATCCTCTGTTCTATGTCTGCTTATCCTCTTCTGTCCCCCCAGCCCCTGGCCACCAGTGTCTTTGTACTGTCTCTATAGCTTTGCCTTTCCCAGAATGTCATATATATGCACAGTATAGTACACAGCCTTTTCAGATTGACTTCTTTCACTTACTAGTATGCACTTCTCCTTCTTCCATGTCCTTAATGGCTTTATAGCTCATTTCTTTTTAGTGCTGAATAATATTCCATTTGCAGGAGGCACCGTATTTCACCCATTGAAAGACATTCTGATTGCTTCCAAGTTTCAGTAGTCATGAAGCAAGCTGCTACAAGCATCTGTGTGCAGGTTTTTGGGTAAGCAGAAGTTTTTGATTTATTTGGGTAAATACCAAGGAGAGAGATTACTGGATCTGCGGTTAAGCGTGTGTTCAGCCTTGTAAAATATTACCAAACTATTTGTGCCATTTTGCATTTCCACCAGCTACAGATGAGAGCTTCTGTTGCTCCATATCTGATCCAAGATTTGGTGGTGTCAGTGTTTTGGGTTTTCACCAATTATATTGGAGTGTAGAGATACTAATATCTCCTTGTTTTAATTTGCAATTCTTTCATGACAAAAAGATTTTGAACATTTTTATATTTTATATTATCTCTAAATATTCTTTCCTCTATTTCATATTATTTTCCACCTGTATATCTTCTTTTGTGAAATGTCTGTTCAGCTCTTTGACCCACTTTTTAATTGAGTCGTTTACTTTCTTATTGTTGATTTTTTAAGAGATTTTGTGTCCATTGGACAACAGTCCTTTATCAGATGTGTATTTTGCAAAATGTCTCCCCTTGTCTGGGCTTGTCTGCAAATTCTCCTGACATTGTCTTTCACAGAACATAATTTTTAATTTTGATGAAATTCAATTTGTGGTTGTAACTAAAATGTCATCACCAAGCCAAAGGTCATCTAGATTTTCTCCTATCATTTTCTCCAGGAGTTTTATAGTGTCATGCTTTACATTTAGATCTCTAATCTATTTTGAATTAATTTTTGTCAAAAGTGTAAAGACTGTGACTTTTTTTTTTTTGCATGTGGTTGTCCGGTTATCTCAACACTCTTTGTTGAAAAGACCATCTTTCAGCCATTGTGTTGCCTTTGTCCCTTTGTCAAAGATCAGTTGACTATTCTTGTGTGCGTCTATTTCTAGACTGTCTATTTTAGTCCATTGATCTCTTCATCTATTCTTTTCCTGATACCACACTGTCTTGATTGCTGTAACTTTACAGTAAGTCTTGAGTTGAATAGTTTTGATCTTCCAACTTTGTTCTTTTTGTCCAATATTGAGTTGGCTATTCTGGGTTTTTTGCCTCTCTATATACATTTTAGAATCATTTTGTCAATATCCACATGTAAATTTGCTGTGATTTTGATTGAGATTGCACTGAGTTTACTTATTGAGTTGGGAAGAACTAACATCTTGACATTACTGAGTCTTCCTACCTGTGAAATTGAAAACTTCTCCTTTATTTTGTTCTTTTAGTAAGAATTTTTCTCATGCAGGCCTTATACATATAAGGTTAGATTTGACTTTCTTTTATAGACTCAAATCTCAATTTTTAAATTTGCAAGCAACCAGGTAGGGATAAGAGGTCTATAAATCAAGGCTAGAAAATTATCCAAACAGTACATGTGCATGCCAATGTATGTAGTATGTGTTGGAGATACTGGTAGTCGCTCAGTCATGTCTGACTCTTTGTGACCCTATGGACAAAAGCCTGCCAGGTTCCTCTGTCCATGAGGTTTCCCAGACAAGAATATTGGAATGGGTTGCCATTTCCTTCTCCAGGGGACCTTCCTGACCCAGGGATTGAACACAGTTCTCCTGCATTGCAGGCAGATTCTTTACCATTTGAGCTACAGGGAAGACCTACAGGTATATGTAGGAGATAGGGCACAATATTTAACACCAAACAGATGTGAGTTGAAATTACAACAGTTTCTCTTATTAACCACATGACATTAAACTACACAAACTCAAACTACACAACAAATTGGAGTCTCAGTTTCTTCAGCAGTAATGTGGGAATAGTATTATATCTCCTACTTGATGTATGACACTGTATCTTCTTTTTTGAAAAATGAATGCATTTTATCAAAGCAAAGTTGAAACATGTCTTGAGTGAATGAATGAGGCCTAGAAGTCAAGTAGTTGAGCCCAGGAGGAAAGGAGCAGAGAGTAGAATAAACAATAATACAAAAACACAGCAACAAAATTAGTTTCACATACACACACACACACATCCCAGTTCAAAGATTCAGGGACAATAAGTGGTTAAAATCTGGACCGCCCCCCCATCTGTTTAACAGTTTAGAGCACCTGCCAGAATAATTGATTTTGAGTCATAGAAAGAGATAAAGTGCCCTGAACACTCTTTGACTGAATCTAAGCTATTTAGAAAATTGGTTATATTTGGAAACATTGGACTCTTAGCTCCATTAATGCCATTGGATTTTTTATTTGATTCACTATTGTATAGTGATGTTCACTAGCATATAGTGTGAACTCATGTGTGCTCACTGGTGTTCAACTCTTTGCTACCCCATGTACGAAAGCCTACCAGGCTCCTCTGTCCAAGGGATTTCCCAGGCAAGAATGCTGGAGGCAAGAATGGCAAGAATGGGTTGCCATTTTCTACTCTAGGGTGTCTTCCCAACCCCAGGAATCAAACCTGCCTCTCTTGGGTCTCCTGTATTGGCAGGCAGTTTCTTTACCCGTGTACCACCTGGGAAGCCCTCTATAGAAGACAACCCCAATGATTGCATAGACTGTGCAAGTTACTTAAGAAGCTGGAAATATTCATACTCTCATGAGGGTGCAATAAAATCCAATATTTAATATGGCATAAATAAGATGATACTTTGTCGAGACTGACATGCTTTAGCAATATATTGATTGATTAATGGCCTACAATATATCTGTCTGCTATAATTTGGAAGTATAATAGTTCAAATGTGTCAAGCAAAAGGAAAAAAGTAACTAGGAACAGTGAGCCTGTTCTTTTCCCCTCTTGCTTCTTTCAGATCCTAATGCATTACCTGCTTTAGCTTTTGTTTCCTTCCATTATAAATAAAATGGTTTCCTCGGCTGCAAGCTAACATCTGATTAATTCCTGCCTTTGAATAGCAATGATAGTATTGACTCCAAGCTAGGATAATGACTTTCCTTATGGTGTTTTCCTTCAGTTTTCTTTATTAAGTTAAAAAAGAGGCCACCGTTTTAGAATTAAAAAGCAGCAAGATATTAAATACAAAAGATATTGCAAATCATTCACAGAATAGCAAGCTGAACAGTATTTCTTATAAACAACACGACAGAAGATCAGGGTTTTATTCAAGAACACTAGACTAAAATAGGTTAGAATAGATTTTTTTTTTAATTTCTTACTGAACAACAAATGTAACATTTTAAATAAAACTAACATTGTAAAATTATGAACAATTTATACAGTGAATCTTATATGATAATGTGTTAGTGCTATATGTCTGTTTTCATAGACAATTTCTATTTCTCTAGAGAGAGACAACCTAATAGATTTAGAGTATTCCTATGGGCTAGAAATGGAGAGAAGGAAATACCATATATTGAATACCTTAAGACTTTCTGTCATGGTTCTAGTGTGTGTGTGTATGTGTGTGTGTGTGTTAGTTGCTCAGTTGTCTGACTATGTGACCCCATGGACTGTAGCCGGCTAGCCTCCTCTGTCCATGGAATTCTCCAGGCAAAAATACTGAAGTGGGTTGCCATTCCCTTCTCCAGGGGATCTTCCCAACCCAGAGGCTGAACCCAGGTCTCCCACATTGCCGGCAGGTTCTTTGCTATCTGAACCACCAGGGAAGTCATGGGTTTTAGAAAGTAATACATTTATTTCATGCAAGCGTCCCCGTATGAAGTCACATAACTGATGATACCTGTGTGCACACACAGAGCGAATAGTCCAGATACATAACTAAGAGCTCAGAGCTAAAGCTTTTCCTGCAAAGGCTGGCCCAGGTGTTGGCGTTGTTTGCTGCATTTGGGAATGGCCAGCCCACCTCATGGTTGAGTCAGCTTCTAATGATCACGCGTCATTGTTCTGTCACTGGGGGCGTTACCAGCTGTCATGTGAATAATTTCTGTGGGCAAGAAAGTTATTCTTGAAAGTTAATATCGGCTTTAAGAAAGAGAATTTGCCAAGGAACTTAATTTAGATTGAAGGGAGAATTCTTTTTTTAAAAAAACATAATTATTAAATTTATTAGCACTATAAGCTCATATTTCCATAAAAATATTACAGAAGTTCTTAATTTTTATTGGGAGTCATCTCAGGGAAAGTAATTATTTTAAGGTGCAATTTGAAGGAAGAGTGACATTAGCAAGCAAAAAGTCAAAGAAGAGAATTTTAGGTGGAAAAGCAAGGAAAAAGCCTAAAGGAGGTTGATGAACTGAAAGAAGACCCGGCAGGGCAGC